AAAAAAAAAAAAACCTTGTAAAGCCCTTTGCATGCTTTATTGTGTCTGTCACTAGGATGCTTCTCTTCATAACCTTGACATACAGATAACCCTTGTAACATGGAAATGTAGCCTGAGCTATTTTTGAAGTTTAAATAGGATTAGCCAGATACAGTGCATGTTTATAATCCCAATGCTTGGGAGACTGAGGCAGGAGGATCGCTGCAAGTTAGAGGCCAGCCTGAACTTCATAGTGAAACCCTGTCTCAAGACAAAAAAACAAACAAACAAACAAAAACAGGGCCTGCCAGATAGCTCAGCAGACTAAGTACCTGCTTAGGCAAGTACCAGGATGGGTTTGATCCCCTGCAGCACATGCTGCACCGACCCCGCCCCTGGGCACACTGAACGGCCACTGAGACCATGTGGCACACACCTGTAATCCCAGCGCTGGAGAGGCTGAAAACAGGAGGATCACTGAGTCTGAGCTGTGTAGTGAGACCCTGTACCAAATACATTAAAAACAACAACAATAAAACAACAAATAAATAAATTTAAAAACCAAAAATAAAATATTTCAGCAGGGCATGGTGGCACAGGCTCTGTAATCCCACTTGGAAGGTTGATGTAGGAAGATCACAACTGGCTTGTGTTAGTTTCTCTTTCTACCAGCAGGGTAAGAGTTCCTATTTCTCTACCTCCTTGCTGATGCCTGATGACACATTTTCACATTCTATTCCTCCTACCACCTTTTTTTTCATAAATCTTTTATTTGGTAGAGGGTCTAGCTCCGCAGGTTGGGTAGTGATTCTCCTGTCTCAGTCTCCCCAGCACTGGGATTAGAGGCATGCATCACCACACCCGGTTTTGCTAGCTGGCTCGGTGTGGGGCCTGCAAGACATGTGGTAGCCAGGGATCGAACTCAGGTCCTTGCTCTCTCTAGGTAGGTACTTATACTGCCAAGCTGTGTTTCCCCAGCCTTTCTTTATGCTGCCAAGTGCTGACCCTATACTTGAGCACTGTGTATACACTGAACACTGTGTATACAAGATCCACCACTTCCTCACAGAGTCTGTCTATATTATGAACCTGTCACTTATGAACAGGACAGCAGGTCTTTGTCCTGTCTCTGACCTCAGGTTGGGTAGTGACCTCACAATTCTCCAGTGCCTGAGCCACAGCATTTCTTTCTCCCCCTGCCTACATGGGCTGAGTCGTAGCAGGGCCTTAGAACCCGCTCTTGGATCCCTTCCTCCTCAGGCTGTTACTCGCTGTCAGTCCGACTCAGCCGCCCCGCATCTTGGGACCGGGTCAGACACTACAGGATCCAGCGCCTTGACAATGGTTGGGTGTACATCTCCCCTCGCCTCACCTTCCCCTCGCTCCAGGACCTGGTGGACCATTACTCTGGTATGTCCTTTCTTGCCTCCGTGAAAGACGGGGCGGGGGTGCACCTGCTGGAGATTATCTGTGCAGAAGAGTGACCCTATCCCTGTACTGAGACACAATGGGAGCCTTTGTTCATCCCACGCAACAGAGGAGCTACAGACCACCCATGGACTCAGCTAGTGCCTTCCCCACCACAGTGGTTCTCAGTCAGAGCACCCGACAGCAGGGAGCGTTCTCTCCCCAGTTGTTAGCTTTCCTGGGGCCTGTCCTGTAATGGACATTGCAAGATGTGGTCACCCAGGCAATGTCAGACAGGAGACTTCTCTTAGGAAAACTGGCCAGTGTGCTGGAGAGATAGCTGAGAGGCATAGGCACCTACCTGGCAAGCACAAGGACCCCAGTTTGACCCTCGGTCCCACATGCCATGCGGTCTCAGCCCCAGATGCCTGGGCCCCAGATGGGTGTCCACTGTGAGACTCTGGAACTGTGTGTGGTGGCACATGCCTGTAATCCCAGCACTCAAGAGGTTGAGCCAGGAAGATCTCTGTGAGTTTGAGACCAGCCTGAGGGCTACAAAAGTGAGCATAAGGCCAGCCCAAATTGCACAGTGAGACCCTGTCTCACAAAAAGAAAGAAAAAGAAAACTGGCCAGGTTGCCCCACATAGTGGGTACTGACATTGCTACATGAGGATACGGCTTTCCGTAGCTTGCTTTTCTTCCCAAAGCACTTTCTTAGCCAGAGGGTGCTGAGGCCCGTCAGTTTCCCCAGACTCAACTTGGGCGCATGACCTGCTCCTCTGGTGACCATGCCCCCACATGCCAAGTATGGGAAGCTGCCAGGGAGGGGCACCAGGGAGAGGCAGGGCTGCATCAGAGACGTCCAATGTCCCTCTGTCTTGCTCAGAACTGGCAGATGACATCTGCTGTGTCCTCAAGGAGCCCTGTGCCCTGCAGAGGTGCAGCGTACTCCCTGTCAAGGACATACCCCCACCTGTGACCGTGCAGAGGACATCCCTCAATTGGAAAGAGCTGGACAGGTGAGGGGACCCCTGGAAAAATCAGAGGCAGAACAAAGAAGCATTAGGCCCCAGAACTGGGAACACAGAACACAAAATGGGCTGTCGTGTGTGAGAACACTTGGGCCAGAGCCGACTAGAGCCCAGCCCAGCTCAGCAGGGTGGGTAGTGGCACAAGGTGACACTTGAGGAGGACAAAACCAAGTGGGGACCCCAAGGCAAGCAGAGTAGAAGGTTGGAGAGCACAGGCTTGCATGGGACATCAAGGTGGGGTTCAATCTGACAGGAACAGGGATCGGGGTTTGTCAGGAGTAACTGGACCTGTTTAGAGCAGAGCTGTGTGCAGGGGGGTGCGCCCTCACTGACTTCTCCCCACCCCCACTCCACAGCTCTCTCCTGTTTTCTGAAACTCCCACCACGGGTGCAGCATCTCTCCTCAGCGAGGGGCTCCGAGAGTCCCTCAGCTCCTACATCAGCCTGACCGAGGATGTCTCCTTGGACAGTGCCAAGGGCAGAAGCAGAGGTCGAAAGGGTAACCCAGGCTGTGGCACCTAGAAGCCCAACTTAGCTCAGCCCGAGCACCCCGGAAGCAAGGCTGCTCAGTGTGGGGAGGCCTGGGGCACAGGTGCATCTGGACTTCCACCTGGACCTCCCACTTCCTCCTCTCGGCCCTAAGAAGTTGCTTACCTCCTCCCTGGCCACGACCCTGTGGGCAACTTCGGTCTGCAGCACAGGACAGCTGGGGGTGGGCTCAGTGCTCCAAGAAGGGAGTAAACATCCTGTGGGGTCTGTTCAGGTCCTGATCTAGGGAATTCCAGCTCTACCTCTGTCTCCTGCCTGTTGAGTTCCATTCTGCATGCTATTAACCAGCCCTATTTATAATGTAGTCAACCACTAACATTGAAGAGGAAAAAGAATAATTTTAGAACAACTTCCTCTCTCACCTCAGAGGAAGACTGTGGCCCAGAAGGAAAGCAGGTGGCTAATCGCAGCAGATCCTCAGCTTCCAGCTCTACTTGACCCCAGAACAAGCAGGACCACTGACAGCCCAGGTCCTCCCATGGGCCCCATGAGCCTTCTCTGAACAGCCCCAGCTTTCAGATCTCCATTTCATTCTGTAGCTTCTTCAAAACCAACCAAGCTCCTCGGCCTAGCTATCTCGTGGCCAAATACAGTGACCCTCCACCCCTTCTCACTATGCAGCTCAGGCCTGTGCCTTGCCTCAGCCTCCCAGGATCACAGGCGTGCACCCCTGCACCTGGCTCAGAGCAACGCTGGTGGAGCCAAACATGGTGTGGGTGAGTGCAGAGCAGCGTGCAGGCGCGGGCACAAGGAGGCAGGGAGCCCTGTCCACAACACACCAAGCACAGCCCACACCAACTACACCTCAAGGTCTCTGCTGCCCACGACAAAGTCCTGGCTGCAGCAGCAAAGGCAGCAGAGCGAAAAAGGAGCTATCTTCTCCAGCTGAGGAGGTTGCAAGTGAGGTGGGACAGGGTTTATCAGGTATCATCGACAGGTTCTCATTAAAGATTTGTTTATTCAAGTATCTGAAAACCCTCTACAATGGAAACATCAGGTGCCGTTTGTACTGTGCTTTGAACCACACACATCCCGCTATACTGTTTTCAGAAGACTTGAAATGCCACTGATAGTTTAAAAACTGTACACTGGATAGAGAACCGAGGAAGACAATTTAATGTTTCATCCGGATTCAGAGGTGCATCAAATTTAATCACAGCTCCACTTGGCAAATAGCTGTTACATGATGGTATCCAAGAAAGGGTGGATGACAGATAAATTCAGAAGTGCTTTTTCCCCAGTGTGGATGGTTCTTTAGAAAGTGTCAGGTCACAGCCCTTGTAGAAAACACTGATGCCCAACATTCTAATTCTTGGTCCAGGAAACATGGGTCCTCCAGGTTCCATGTGACTGGGATGCCCCAACAATCATTTTTCTGTGCTGTAATTTGAGGGTCCATAGGACTGGACAGGAAACAGGTGGGAGCTGCTCACTGTCAGTCATAGTGGATGGCAGTGTAGAAGATGATCCAAATGACCTAGGGGAGACACACAATGCTTCCAGGTTACCGATTCCACAAAGTGAGGGCATGCATCAGGGTACTCTGAGGGGCTGGCTACCTGACACATAACCCCATGGAAAGCTTCAGCTATTTCACTGCACTCAGGCTGTCTCTAAGCAAGTGCAGGACGGCCCATTTGTGCTCCCAAAGGGATCTCTGGATAACTCCTTCCCTCACCAAACAGCACCCACGGAATGGTGGTATAGACATACAATCAATACACAAAACGGGGCTGGGGAGATGGTTCAGTGGAATAAGTGCTTCCCTGGCAAGCGCAAGGGCCTGAGTCCAATCCCCAGTTCCACCAAACAAAAACCAGAAGGGTATGTGGCTTCAAGTTTGAAGGCAGCTTGGGGTACACAGCGAGATCCTGTCTCAAAAACAAAAAACAAGGGGCCGGGGAGACGGCTCAGTGGAATAAGCGCTTCTCTGGCAAGCACAAGGGCCTAAGTTCAATCTCCTCTCCGGTTCCACCAAAAAAAAAAAAAAAAACAGCCAGCCAGGCACAGTAGCCTTCACTTGTAATCCCAACTCCCTGGGAGGCTGAGGAAAGAGCACTAAAAGTTTAGGGGCAGGGCAGACAATTTAGCAAGACTGCTGCAAAATAAAAAAGTGCTGAAGATGTAGCTCAGTGCTTCTTGGGTTTTACACACACACACAGAATCAATGCACTGTGTAATCCCAGTGCTTGAGAAGCTGAGACACGAGGATTGCTGGACTCTAAGGCCAGACTGGACTACACAGTGAATTCAAGGCCAGTCTGACAAACAACCTGTCTCAAAAAAGTTAAAAACAAATGAACAAAACCAAAAAAACACACTAAAAATGCAAAGGGCAGCTCAGGATATACAGCTCAGCAGCACAAGTGCCTGCCTGGCAAATATAAGGCTTTGAGTTTGATTCCTGATACAAAAAAAAAACAAGGGCCGCCCAGATAGCTCAGCAGATTAAAGCCCCTGCTCGGCAGATGCAGGGGCCTGGATCCATCCCCAGTGGAGCGGTGCCGGCTCTGCCCCCAGGGTGTGCTGAGCCGGTGACTGATTCTAATCTCAGCACTTGAGAGGCTGAAAACAGGAGGATCACTATAAATCCAATCTCGTGTAGTGAGACCCTGTAGGCCCGGTACTAAACACATAAAACAATTAATTAAAACAAAAACAAGACAGTGATACCCTCACACCACTTCTCAATGTGTACTGGTTTGAGATCTGGACACTCATGGGCATAATTTTTATTTTGTGGCAGAGCTGCTATGCTGTGCAGGCTGGCCTCAAACCCGCCACCCTCCTGCCCTAGCTTCCCCAGCAGCTGGCACTGCAGGCATGAACCTCTGTGGCCAGCTCAGAATTCCTGAGTAACTGAAACATAGTTCACATTCTATAGTTTGCCTTTTTTTTTTTTTTAACTAAAACAGCTGACGAGTTTATTTTCACATTTCACAATACAAATGAAACTGTACTTTTTGCACTTTTATCATACTTCTCCCTTCAAAACTATTCTTTGATAGGAAGGGGGAGCAAGTCTTCCTTTTCATTCATGCTGTTAGAAAACACCCAGAGTCACAGCACCATGACCCCTGGTGAAGCAGAACAAATAATATAAAACTGATACAGAGAGGCTGCCCCTCCACTTTATCTGTCTGGTCGAGTCATTCCTGGCTGAGTGGGCACCATCATGGGCTGAGCCGGTGGTCGCATCATTGGAGGCCCAGGCATCATTGGCATGTGGCCTCCCATGGGTGGTCTCATTCCAGGAGCAGGTCCCACTGGCATCATCCCGGGAGGTGGGGGGCCCATCATTGGCATCATGGGAGGGCCTCCCATATGAGGTGCTGGCATCATACCAGGGCGAGGAGGACCTGGAAGGCTGGGTGGAGGTGGGATCATAGCCCTGGCTGGGGGAGGAGCGGAGAATGGAGTAGGAGGTATCTTTCCTTGTTGAAATGCAGCCGTTGTTTTGTCAATCAGGCTCTGAGCTTGCTCTTCCATCCATTTCTGGTAGTAGTCTTTCACATTCTCTTTATGTTTCCTACCACTGCAGTGTCTTTCTCACAGATGGAGAGTCATGGGTGAGATACGTATCGCAGTAGTCACAATGAAACTTAGGCATGTTGCTCTACCGGCCGTTGGCGGCTTCGTCGCGCGCCACCCGGAAATGACGCCATAGTTTGCCCTTTTTAAAAGTATACAATCTAGAATTTTTTGTTTTGTTTTGAGATAGGGTCTCACTATGTAGTTTAGGCTGGACCTGAACTCACTCTGTATGTGTACCCCAGGCTAGCTTCAAACTTGTGATCTTCCTGCCTCAGCCTCCCAAGTTGCTGGGATCACAGGCATACATCATCACCCCTGGCCAGAAATTTTTAGAATATTCACAGAGATGGGCCAATATAAACACTGATTCCAAGGTATCACTCCAAAAAGAAAATCTGTTCCCATGACCAACTAGCTATTACTTCCTGGTTTTTCCTGCCATCAGCCATTGGAAACCACTCATCCTGCTGCCTCTATGGATTTGCCTGTGTTAGGGCATTTCACATAAACAGTGACTGAACTGGAGATTGAACCTAGATCCTATGTACTACACCCCCCAGCCCTTTTTAATATTTATTTTGAAAAAGAAAAAAATTATTTTGAAACAGCCTCTCCCTAAATTGCTTGAACTTTTCGTCTTCCTCAGCCTCCCGAGTGCTGACGTTACAGCATTTCCTGACTTTAATAGTCAGCTTTCTGCCTCTGGATTCTTCCATTTAGCATGCTGTCAAGGTTGTAGTAAGTGTCAAAGCTTACATTCTTTTTATGGCCCAACAACATTCCACATCAGGGGATAACTGTTTCTAGTTCCAGGGTGTTTTGGGGGGTTTTTTGTTGCCCTTTTTGAGACAGGTTCTCACTATGCAGCTCAGGCTGGCCTTGAGCTCACTTTGTAGGTCAGGCTGATCTCAAACTCACAAAGATCCTCCTGCCTCAGTTTCCCAAGCATTAAAATTACAGGTGTGCACCACTACACCTAGCTTTTGAGCTATTACAAATAACCTAAGTATATTAAATAGCTGTCAATTTCAAGCCTACATGAGTATTAGATGAAGCTGGCGGACAGTGGTCCCTGGATCTGCACATCAGCAGAGACTGTACAGTACCTCACACCAAATCAATCAATCTATCTATCTAGATATCTATCTATCTTTCGTGTGTGTGTGTGGGGCCAGCTCAGCCCACCAGGGGGCGGGGCTGGCTGACATGTGGTGCTGGGGGATTGAACCGCGGTCCCTGTGCTTTGCTAAGCTTGTTCTAAGTAGGTGCTTTAGACCACTGAGCCATCTCCCCAGCCCCCTCTTTCTTTCTTTCTTTCTTTCTTTCTTTCTTTCTTTCTTTTTCAAGATGGGGTCTCACTTTGCAGGTCAGGCCGGCCTTATGCTCACTTTTGTAGCCCCCAGGCTGGGCTCAAACTCTCAGTGATTCTCCTGTCTCAACCTCCCGCATGCTGGGATTACTGGCATGAATCACCATGCCCAATTCGGGGTCCAGCATGGCATGCGGGGCCAGGGATAGAACTCTGAACCTTGTGCTTGCCAGGCAAGTGCATATGCTGCTGAGCTATCTTCCTGGCCTCTCACACCCCATTTTTTAGGACAGCTTAGCTAGAGAAGGCATCACTTCAACCTCATGAACCTTCTGAACAAAAAATGGCACCTCGGCCACATAGATGAACTCAACTGCTGGGTTTCCCTTGTACGAGTAACATCTCATGAAAGGAATAGACCTGCTGTATAACTACCAGGTACATACCATGAACAAAGCAAAAGATGTCATAAATCCTTCTTTTGTGAGTTCCCATGTTCCGCCATATTCTTCCTCATCAATCTGTAGGTAGTTGCTGAAGTAGAGGTACAGGACCCCTGCATTGATCAGGCAGAACCTGGAGCAGTGGAGGACAGACACCAAACAAACTGTAACCCTAGTAGACTCAAAGACCCGTCAGACGCTGAGCTACTAGAGCATATTTTGTGTTCTAAGTTCACTGTTGGCACATGTCTCCCTTCAGGCACAGGTGACCTGGAGAGAGAAGCTCCAAACTCAGGAAGGTGGTTCTGCGTCATTGTTATGAGACCTTGTGCAAATCTGACAGGCATCTCTGCATCTCCATCCCCTCATCTACAAAATGGTGAGGCTGAGGCAGGAGAATGGCCAAGAGTTTGGCACAATGAGTTCAAGACCAGTCTAAACGACACAGTAAGAGGGCCAGGGAGATTACTCAGCAGCTAAGCACCTACCTGGCCAGCACAAGGTCATGAGTTTGATCCCTGGTACCAAAAACAAAACAGGGGCCAGGGAGATGGCTCACTGGAATAAGCGCTTCCCTGGCAAGCGCAAGGGTCTGAGTTCAATCCCCGGTTCTGCCAAAACAACAACAAAAAACAAAAACAAACAAAAAACCCCAAAATAATGCTTAAGTCCTTAAAAGAGTTCACCTGGATCAACTAGAGGTTTAAAGCAGGAACAATGATTTTTAGTCCCCCAGCAAAAGCAACAAATAAACATTTAAAGTACAGCTTAGTGAACCTGGCATGGTGGCACATGGCCATAATCCCAGCGTTTGGGAAACTGAAGGAGGAGGATTGAAGTGAACTATAGGTCAGTCTGGGCTGCATAATCAGTTTAATGTCAGCCTGAACTATATTGCAAGACTCTGTCAGAAAACAACAAAAAGTATTGCTCAGCAGCAAAGGCTTGCCTAATAGGGCCCTGGGTTAGATCTCTAGTACCATAAAAAATAGCATATACCAATATTCTTCGAGCTCCTTGAAGACAGAATGGCTGCTGAGCTACCTCAAAAAGAACTATACCGGACACGGCCTTTCATATAGCCCCAGATGAGGGGCTGCTGTGGGCCAAATGTACTCAACTACTACTACTTTTTTATTTTTATGAATTAAAAAAAAAATTTTTTTTTTTGATCTGCCTTGTGCCATGCTGGCCCCACCCCCACACTGAGAGGGCCATTGAGACTGGGCAAGTGGCACATGCCTATAATCCCAGAGTTTGGGAAGCTGAAAACAGGAGGATCACTACTGAGTCCGATCTGTGTAGTGAGACCCTGTAGACCCTCTGCTAAATACATTAAAAAAAATTATTTATTTGGTATAGGGTCTCCTATGCAGCTTAGACTCATGGTGATCCTCCTGTCTGAGCTTCCCCAGCACTGGGATTACTGGTGTGCGCCACCACTTCCAGTTTCAGGGCCAGCTCAGCACACCTGTGGTTCAGGAGCTGGCACAGCACATGGTACCAGGGATCAAACTCAGGTCCTTACGCTTGCCAGGCAGGTGCTTAGACTGCTGAGCTATCTTCCCAGTCCTTAACTACTACTATATGGTCTAGTAAACAAGCAACAGCGAGCAGGCATGGTGGCACATGCCTGTAATCCCAGCACTCACATTGAGGCAGGAAGATTATTGCAATTTACAAAGTGAGCTCAAGGCCAGCCTGAATTGCACAGTGAGACCCTGTCTCAAAAAGACAATCAATCAACTTTCAATCAATAAAAACAAGCAACAGCATGAGCCCCTGCACAGTTCCTAAGGAGAGATCATTCTGGATGTCTGTGTCTGCCATTACACTTGAGGTAAACCCAACAGTCCTTCCTCTCAGCCCATCACTTAGCAGAGACAAAGAGTAGCGACAGCTGGGCATGGTGGCGCAAGTCTATAATCCCAGCACTTTGGCAGGGTGAGGCAGGAAGACTGAAGTAAGTCTGAAGCCAGCCTGAAACATACAGTGAGACATTGTCTGAAAACAAAACAGAAACACGATAGCAAAAATAAAGCTAAAGGGGCTGGGGATATAGCTCAGCAGCACAAGCGCCTTCCTGGCAAGTGCAAGGTCCTGAGTTTGATCCCTGGTACTGCAAAACATACAAACAAACAAACAAAAAAAAAAAGTTGAAGCCAGAAGTCGGTGAACATCCCCAGGAAAGCCTACCCCACTATTTTTTTTTTGTTTTGTTTTGTTTTACATGTTTTCATTAGTGCATACTGATTGTACACATTAGTGGGGTTTATCTTGGCAGATCTGTACATGTCTATAATGTACTTCCAACATTTCCACCTCCCTATCACCCTCTTGCCATGGCCTTCCCTCCCCCAAAAGTCTTTGACTCCATAATGGATTTAGCTGACAGAAATTGGAAGGTGGTAAGCAGACCGCAGGACCCTACTGTAGTCATCTCTTGGTTTCATTATGGGGTCAAAATGTTTTTGTTTTTTTTTTTCAGTACTAGCGATTGAACTCAGGACCGTGAGCTTACCAGGCAGGTGCTTATTCTACTGAGCCATCTCCCTGGCCCCCATTTTTTCCTTTTTTAAATGAAGCAGTCAAAACTGTCTAGTGGTCTTTCCAGCTACAGCACCCACTGTGAGGAGGTACCACATGTCTCAGCCACACCCCTTCTAAAGGCAAAAGTGGAAATATGCCAAGGCCAGAGTACAGTTCTGCGGCAGGATGTGTGTTTCCTATGCACAAGGCCAGAGTTCAACCCCCAGTGCCAAAAGAAAAATCCAGAGGACAGGGAGGCAGTGTAGGCAGTGCAGTGGAGCTCAGGGGCCGGGGAGTCTGAGGCAGTGGCAGCAAGTCTGGAGTGTGTGGGCCTTTGGGGGTGCGGCTCACAAAATCTGTGGGCAGAGGCAGCATGGGTGAGGAAGGAGCCACACATTTTAGAACACAGCAGCAAGTGTAGTGTGAGGACAGGGAGCAACCAAGTGGTTAAATGAGGGGTAAAAAGAGCCAAAGGTGGCCAGGGAGATGGCTCAGTAGAATAAGCATTTCCCTGGCAAGTGCAAGGGCCTGAGCTCAATCCCCAGTTCAGCAAAAAAAGAGCCAAACGCTTCAAGCCTGGGAGCACAGTGGTTCTAACAGCAGAGGCAGAGAGTGAGGAAGCCCAGGTTTTTCTTAGATTTCAAAGAAAATACAGTTCTGGATTTGGCCAAGTTGTGGCCATATCCTTACTTCTTGCCAGAAACGCTGAGACCCAGCCAACGCCAGCCACCTCCTCCTGACAGGAACTTAGTTCTCACATTTAGAGGCTCTCGCTGCAGATTACTGATGGAAGCTGGAAATGCCTCTGAGACTCAGATAAGCTGGGCTGGAGCAGGACGATAGTCAAGGAGTGAGGGCGATGGAGAAAAGGCCCTGCATCCCCACTAAGGAAGGTGTTTAAGCCGGGGTTGGTGGTCTTGGGAAAGACTAGAAGGGCTCATGCTGAGCATTAAAGATGGGCACAATTCAGCTAGCTAGCCAGCCAGTAGTCCTGGCACACTGGAGATTCTATTGTGGTTTTATTTTTGTTTGGTTTTATTTTATTTTTTTTTTTTGCGGAACCGGGGATTGAACTCAGGCCCTTGTGCTTACCAGGCAAGCACTTATTCTACTGAGCTATCTCCTCAGCCCCATTATTTTTGGGTTTTGAGACAGGGTCTTAATACACAGTTCAGGCTGGCCTTGATCTCACGGTGATCCTCCTGTCTCAGCTTCCCAAGAGCTGCGATCACAGTCTTATGCCACTATTCCTGGAGGAATACTGAGATTTGAATGCCAGGGTCTTTGTCCTCAGCTGGATATCCACAGCACCTCCTGTACCCCGCTGCTTTCTGAGACAGGTCTGGGCTTGAACTTCCAATCTTCTTGCCCCAGCCTCCCTCAATGTTGGGATTATAGGCATGTGCTACCATATTTGGCAAAATTTTTGTTTTACAAATGAGAGAAAAGCCAGGTGTGGTGGCCCGTGGGTACGGTCCCAGGACTCTGGGAGGACAAGGCAGGAGAATGCTAATTTTGAACCCAGCCTAGATGATTTCACTACTCACCAAGATCTTCCCTCAAAAAATCAAAAAAAAGGGATAGGGATGTAGCTGAGTGTGAAGGCCCTGAGTTTAATTTTCAGTATAAAATCAACCAATTGGGCTGGTGAGATGGCTCAGTGGTCTAAAGCACCCACTTAGAACAAGCTAAGCTTAAGCAAAGCACAGGGACCACGGTTCAATCCCCCAGCACCACATGCCAGCCAGCCCCGCCCCCTGGTGGGCTAAGCTGGCCACACACA